CTGAGGGCCAACAAACAAAGGGATTGTAAAACAAAGGGCAGGTTGAGCGGAAAGAAAGGAACCTCGTTGTTGTTGCGATATTTTATTGTCCAGCCGCATGGTTCCTATTGTGGCTGGGCATCCTCGTTTTCCTGAATAAATGTGCCCCTAGTCTTGATAATACGTCGATTTTGCTTCTTGAGGCAGTTTTCAACTTTGTGGCCTTCTTCACCGCAATACAAGCATAGACCTTCTTCCATACGCCGTTTTTTTTCTTCTAGAGTAAGAGATTTGACACGTACCGCATCAATTTGCATATCTTCTACCTCTGAATGTGAATTCACGCTGCTTGCCGATATAGTTGGGATGTAGCGAACTGTATGTTGTCTTGAACGTTGGTCTTGGCGACGTTGGAATAGGCGGTTATCACACTTCTCAGCTTGGCTAATGGCTTCATTGAGCGTTCGTGGATCAGGAAGAGTTAACAGCAAATCCTTCACATCGTCCCTTAAACCCCAATAGAATTGAATCATCAACGCTTCTTCGTCCCAATTGATGTCGCATGCTAATTGCCTGAAGTCCGATGCATAGATTGATGTAGAACGCATCCCTTGTCGTAGTGACCGGATCTTTGTTGTAGCCCATCGAACCTTGTCGTGTTCACCAAATGCTTTCGCAAACGCCTCCAAAAAGGTTTCAAAGTTGTTTAGTATGGACGATCATTTTTCAAACAAAGGAGCAAACCATGATAGAGCTTGTCTTGTAAGTAAGGTTCCAACAAGCCCAACACGTGACTCCTCCGTTGGATAGCGTTCGGGTTGTAAAACTGTTATCAACCTGATTTGGTTGACAAATCCTCGAAACTTAGAACGCGTACCATCGAGCTTGTCCGGAAGGCTAACTTGGGGCTCCTTATGTTGTAGAACCAGCGGTGCTTGTCGAACCTGAGGCAAAGTTGCTTCTCCAAGTGCAGAAGTTTGAGGCTGGTGCAACCTAGATTGTGCCATCCCAGATGTTCCATCATTATGAAGCCTTGCCACGACTCCTTCAATCTCTGCAGTTCTTTGTGATAACTTAGCGAGGGCATTCATGATAGCATCTAACTTGAACTCTGAACTTCCCGTCATACTAATGTCTTGACCCCCAGCCATTCTAAGAGAAGGACAAAAATGACTCTACAAGAAGATAATATTGGTTTAGAGGAGGGTACTCCGCAACTTCTAAAATGCCTTAAGAGCTTCAAGAAAAGGGGTAATCCACTCTCTCCAAGAAGAATAAGACTCCAATATTGTAACAAAACAAGTATCAGTTTAGAGGAGGGTAATCCGCAACTTCTAAAATGCTAGTACACTTCCAAGCAAAGGGATAATCCACACTCTAACAAAGAAGAACTAGCTCTGATATCTGAGTTGAGTGAAGTCTCGACAAACAGTCATAGACACAGAAATACAGACTCGAGATCTAAGAAGAAGTTCAAGAAGAACTGGCAAGAATTAGATTAATCAGATGAGAACAACACTAGAGAGGTGAGCTAGAGCTCCAAGAGATGTGTTGTCGGGACCGAAGAACTCTTCAGCCTCGATTCCAATATATACTCCTATTTAGGAAGCTTCTCAAGCAACTTCTACCAACTAGGAAGCTTCTAGAAGGTTCTAGAGACTTGCTTCTAGAAGATTCTAGAAACTTATCTCTAGAAGGTTCTAAGGACTATGTCCCTAACATCTTCTATCAACTAAGAAGCTTCTAGAAGATTCCAGAGACTTGCTTCTAGAAGGTTCTAGAAGCTTGTCTTTAGAAGGTTCTAGAAGCTTGTCTTTAGAAGGTTCTAGAAGCTTGTCTCTAGAAGGTTCTAAGGACTATGTCCCTAACATATATTAAGAAAGAAATTGGAATGGCTATTGCCAAAAGACAAGAAAACTAGAGATCCTTGAAACTAGACTAGAAACAAGAAAGGAGTTGACAAGAGTGAAGAAGGCTTCACTCTTGCCTCTATATATACTATCTACCTACGAGCTACATGAAAATATTCTGTAGGGCCTCCAAAAACGTGTTGACTTTACACAACACGTATCTTAACTTGCAAGGCAAGTTTTCTATATGGGCGCCACATAGTTAGCATGTTTTGTAAGCTATCAACATGTGAGGCACATAGTTAACTTGTTGACCAAGTTTCTAACCTACTTTTTTCTTCACAAATAAAATTGGACCTCTTATTGAAAATTTGAAATGGCATATGAAGTTCTTCGCTAGATTTTCTTGAATATATTCCTTAAGTTTGGCTAAATTCAAAAAGCTGGTTTTGAAAAGAAAATAGGAACTTCACTAGGTATTGTATAAGATTCTAGTTGCATGATTAATATTGTAGCTGAATAAATTTATTTTCTAAGATACTATCTTTTTTGATGGCCGTATTATTCATTTTGTGGTTGCGTTATTTTTTTGAACAATGTTGAGTAGTATACTTAGGATCTCCATAATATAAGTATAATCCTTCTTCATGACGACAAGTCTTTTCTTGCTCAATTAGAGGTTTGAAATATACCACATTAATTTGCATATCCTTTACTTCCAAATGTATGTGTTGAGGAGATGTTTGTGATGCCATTAAATTATAGTAACATTGAGGCACATATGTGTGACTCTTAGATTGAAATTTAAAAAGTTCATTGTCATACTTCATAGCAAAGTCAATTCCTTGACTAAATGTTTGAGGATCAGATAAGTTGAGCATCAATTTTTTTACTTCATATTATAATCCATAGAAAAATTGGCTAATAAGTGCAGCATCATTTCACTTGATATCAATGGCAAGTTATTAAATACTTGCAAGTATATAACATTATTGATCAATTTTTTTATTACAAAATATGAATCTTGTTGGTTACAATACAAATTGCATCATATTTTCCATACATAGTTCAAAAATATGCCAAAAAAACCTCTAGATTATACAATATTAAAACTTGTAGTTCAAGAAAAGATAAAAAAATCATGAAAATGCTAAACTTGAAAAAAAAGCATCAATAAATCTAACTTGCGATTTTTAAGTTGAATAGCTTTCAAGTTGAAGTTCAATGACAAGTTATATTTGATTAATAAATCCTTGAAATTTTTAATATTTTAAGAATAAAATAAACCTAATTATTATGAAAATAAAAATAAAAGAAGTAATAAGTAAAGAATAATTTAACAAATAGAAAATAGACTTAAAACATAAGAACACTTTTGAAAAAAAACTACAAAACTAAAAGCTAAAAAAAAGTGAATCAAAGAATTAAACCAAGGTTGTAAAAACTAACATTACTATATATATAAAAAAACTAAAAATATATAAAAGTAAAAAAATAAACAAAATATAATAATAATTATAAAGAATAAACTAAGCAATAAACTAAATGATATATATTTATAATTTATTTATTAAATTAAATCAAATCAAGTATTATAAAGAAAAAATAAGGCTCAAGAGAACAATAAATGTAGTAGTACAACAATGATATATAATTCATCAACAACAAAAATATTGAGCAAAAAAATTGATAAGCTTAAGAATGCATACATAACAATTAGATTAGGATACTAATTAGAAGAAGAACTTAGTAGAACAAAGACCTATATTTATTCAAGGATCTAATTGGAAAGATTTTATCTAAAGAAATTTTTGAAGAAACTTATCAAGTGTCCAATCTAGTAGGATAATATGAGACAAATGTCCTTATTGGACATACTTGTGCTAAGACTTTATTTAATGGAGAAGATTTATTATATAAATAAAATTCCAATGCAAATTTAAGTCATGATTCTTTAAACCAAAAAAAATACCACAAGTCCTTGTTTTTAACTTCTACAATAAAATGTAACTTCAATGAGACATACAAAAGTGAAAAGAAATAAATAAGCAAACTAAAAAATAATTAATTAAAAAAAATACCAAAAAAATAACTTCATAAAAAAAGAATTGCTGCTTCTTTTCTATTATGTCCAACATTGCTTTGCTTGCATCTAATACTAGTAGCTTAAACTTTATAAATATAACAAATGTTGTTGTTGAAGTACTTAATTGTTGGCTAAAATAGATTAATATAGCCTTGGTATTATTAACAATAATGAAGAAAAATTTATTTCTAATCTATGAATTTTGTGCCAATAAAAACATAAGTTATTCAAATAAATTTACAATGTGATATAGTGCCAATATTGCGTATATTTCTAGAGGAAGTTCTCTAGAAAGGCAAACAATCTAAATAATCTATTTTTAGATTTTAAAAGAGACCAATTTATAAGCCAAATAATTATCATAATGCTAGTTTATAATTCTTCAACTCCTACCTCATAATCCATGCGATATAAATAAAATCTTTAAAAATTTACAATTAATAATATATTTTTATTTAAAATAGAATTCTGGATTATTAGAAACATAAGTTACATGAGATCTTTTAATATTTATGACATAGATTGCCTTTACAACAAGCAAGTTTTGATTTTTTTTTGTAAAAATCAAATGAAATCAGTGAAATTATCTAAAAGAACAAAAACTAATATGAGTTCATCTTAATATCCCATACTTTTAAAATTGGAAAATCTCAATTCCTACATTATAGATTTACTTAAACATTAATGCATATTTTGAACAAGTCTACTCACACGTTTTGAATCAGATTGAAGATATCTTCATTTTGGTACTGAATACTGACACTACTGTTTTCAATTTGAACGATTGATTTATCAACGGTAATGTTGAGTTTTTCATAGCTAGAACTATACATTGAAACTATCAAAAATCTACTTGATCACATTGTTTACGTCCTTCGGATCTAGATGTAAGACCCCAAACGTAGGATTGACTCGGGATTATAATGCACAAACCCGAAGTGATCCAGCATCCATCCCAACTCGTGCTCCAATGGGTACCCTTCCCTACGATAGAACCTGGTTGCCCAAATACAGAAGAACAAAATAGTAGTTGGGAACTAGAGACCTATTTTGGACTTTCAAGGACTGGAATTTCCCAACATTAGTTCCCAACAATAAAATTTTGTTTCCCAACATTTGATTCCCAACAATTATTCATGAATCAATTACAAAATATTTGTTCCCAACAATTGATTCCCAACATTCGTTCGTGGCATTGACAGCTAGAAGAACAAGTCCGTGCTGCAACCTTGAAATGCCCAAAACTAACATCGGACAAGCAACCCCCTATGCTCGAAAAAGCAGCAGAGCAAACTAGTCTCCTAACATATAGCATCATGGTACCCACTTTGCTGAGTAGTCACCTGTGATAGTTCACACAGTCGAGCATACAGATCAAACATACATGAAAAACAAATGTTGCAATAAATCTAGCACAGCTATCATTTGCGGTCCCGACTTCTGCTTCGTCTTCGACTATCACGTTCTCTATACCTGTCGTAGTCACTACCTCTACCTCTCTCTCTCTCCCTACGCCCATCTCGGTCACGCTCACGGTCCCTGTCCCTGCTACCATAATGGTCGCGATTTCTATCTCTATCACGATCTCTATATCTGTCTTTCTCGCGGTCCTTGGTATCTCGTTCTGACTCTCGATCCCGACCACGTTCAGGACTGCGGCTTCTGCGTCGGTATTTCTCTTTGCTTCGGCTGTTAGAAGACAATAAGACATGTAGCCAATTTGTTAAATAGATATGATCCCAAGCTTGAACAGGAAGATCACACAAAGTACTTGTAACCTCCTAAAAACTACTTCTACTACATCCGGCGCCTGAAAGTTCGCTAAGCTATCTGTGGCGATAGATTCTTTGAGGGAAACATGTGCTCAAAATGAACCTATGAGGTATCAAAATTGTGCCATGAAACAGGTTGTGTATACTCTCAGATCCGCTGGTTTTTATAACAATACTAAACTCAAGTAGCATTACTATAATATCAATTCAAATAAATATAAATGAGATCAGGTCATTCAGACAGAGACAAAACAGACAATTCAACACAAAAATATAGACAGAAAAATAAAAACAAAAAATCTTACCTGCGCTCACGTCTATCTCGTTCTCTGTGGTCAGGACGAGATCCATTCTGGATGCAGAAAAACGTGTTACGTTCAGTGATTAATTGCAGTGAAAGGAAAAATCGATTCCGTGATCAAGAAAAAAATGCCCAAGGAGTTCACAGAAACGAATGTTCGACCTCCCAATTGCAAGTTACAAGTTCATAAAATAACACAGGACGAAAATAGTAGATGCACAAATTACGAGCGATCATTACAGCAGCTCCGATAGCATTGAGCACCTTGTCAGGGTCTTTAGAATCGTCCACAGCAACGTCTTCCACTTTATACTTTCCATCACTCTCCAGAGGTTTTTCTGCAGTTTCCCGATCTCGCCTACGGGATTCTCGTTCTTCTTCTTTCTTCTTACGAAGCTCTGCAGCAGTTTGTCTGATCCTAAAGTATCCCTGCAAGCCAGAAGTCCACATGTCACCACGTACCAACTATACATATGCAGAAATATAAACACAAAAAATATTACATCACAACAATCGCGACATCCTAAACATATCTAAAACACAATGATCACAGAACAGTAATTATCCGTCAATGAGGGACGCCACGACCAAGATCAGGACGATACCAGATGTTGTTTTCCTTCCAAATGACTAGCGAGTCGTTTTTCAGTATCTGTAGATGCTTGCATTGCCCCACACACTTCACAAACTTGCATGCGCTTCTCTTTCTCAAGTATACTACCAAACTCGGGCATAACTGCCCGCACCAGTTGATCTTTCTCCTTGTTGAGGTTCTCCACCTGTTGAATGACCCCGAAGTAATTGGCTCAATATGACGTGCTCACGTTAAATTAGAGAAAATTAAGCTATCACAAAAAAAACAAAACAAAACAAAATAGCAAAAAAGCAGAAAAACAAAAAGGGGGGGGGGAGGGGGGGAGGGAGGTTATTTCAAAAGTTGCTTGTGGAACACAGCACTATGCGCAATCGACTTGCATGAACAATGGTAAGGAGGTGAGGAACTGTACATACAGGAATGAAACGGAATATCTAACGCTCAAAATACCCAATTGAAAGATCATACCTTGCTCATGGTAGCTTGAGCTTGATCTACTTGGCCGTCTTCTCCCTCCTTTTCAGCTTGCTTTAGCAAGGATTGCACCTCCATTGCGATAGCTGATATACGATCACTATTTGCCCGAGCATGATCTGTTAAAGGCATTTCTTTATCAAGCCGCTCGTGGCACCTTTTAATCTTCCTGTCACAAGGGTATTAAACTCCATGAGAGACATGATGCTTGATACATCGAGTGACGCCTGTGCTCACATCCGATCCAGAGATTGGAACCTAGTCGTACTTTACGCCATGCCGATCTCTCCTTCCAATCCAAGGCATGCCTGATATATACATCTACATAGAGCCCGCGAAATCTGGTTGCATAAACTTACGTTCCAGTGTAAAAAGGCCGTCTGGTTCTTACCTCTCCAAGTCAGATATCAAACGCTCCAGGTAACCTAAAAACTCTGCCTCATATTGAGCAACTTTGTTGGACTTCAAAAAGTCTGCTCGAAGAGCATCATCATGCAGCTTTTCGCATGCGCCCAAATCACTCTTCGTGTTAGGGAATAGGTCGTGAGGACAGAAAGCCACCAGATGATAGTGACAAACCTATAGACAGAACGAAAAGCTTCAAATTAAAAAAAAGGAATAAAACAACATGGAGCAAATAGGTCTTCCTAGGAATCGTCCATTCAAACAATGCGCCATACACCGATGCCCGAGCAAGAAACCGGAAGCCTACTTATCGAATCAACTTCAGTTCACTCTCTTAAAAGTAGTACAGCCTACTACAGTTACAGAGTTCAAGGAATAAGTTCGAATCACAAGATGAGAAAAGCTACGCTTAATTCTCGTCAAACAAACACAGCACGATGAAATCCTAGAAATCGATCAATTACACGAGTTCTTGATATATTAAAGAAAACTTAAATAAAATTCTGCTCCAAATGCTTCTTTGTGCAGGTCTACTATTGAGCGATAATGTAGTGTCAACTATCCCGACTGAGAAAGAGAGAAAAAAAAAAATTAAAAAAAAAAAAAAAAAAAAAAACGGTATGTCGTTTTCAAGAAAATTACGTTTCAGATCACGAAACTCGACAATAAAACACACGTGACAAGGCCAAATACCTGGGAAAACAATCAACAACAGACAGCTCTATAAAAAGCATTCACAATAACAAAACCTGAGGATCGTCGAACTGTAGCCGCTTCTTCTTCTGCTGATCCAATGGAAGGTCTCGGTCCTTTCCCATGAGCTCATCCAAGAGCGCTTTGGGGTCCATGCTGCCCCGATATTCCTCCTTCAGATACTACGCACACCTCTCCAATGCCCCTTAGTTCCAAATCACTGTCTCGTACGACACACCATCCTCCTTGCTGCCCCGAAACGGACCACCCCGCGGTACGACCACCTAAAACCCTAGAACCGGAACAATGAAAGATCCTCACTTTTCCAAATGAGGACACGACGCACAACAAAATGCCATATCCAATACAACATAACACCAAAGCTCGGCCGCAAGGCGAACAGTTAAACAACCCTAAATTGCGCTCATTTTCCAACAGCAACGCTAGCCCCAAAACCTCCGCAGAGTCCCACTTAACCGCGCTCCAAGTGAGTACAAACCGCACCAGAAATTCCGCGGAAGGGATTGATAAAATGGCCTAAGCCCGCACATCCGAGTGCGAATACAAAGAGGAGGAGGAAGAGAGAGAGAGAGAGAGAGAGAGAAAAACCCCGAGGGTCGGTCGCGGTGCGAGGCACACAAGGCAGGGCCCAGGCAGGTAACGACGACAACGACGACAAAGACGAGGATGAAGATGATGAAGACGAGGAGGATGATGCAGAAGAAGAAGCAGAGCCAGAAATAGGTTTTGCTGTGAGGGCATGGAAATGGAAATAGGGGAAGTGAGTTGAGTGAGTTGAGTTGAGTAAGTTGATGGAGCGAGTGGGTTGGCGTTGCTTGCTCTCTCGCTCACTCTCTCTCTCACGTTCCCATGGCTTTCTCTCGCTCGCTCTCTCTCACGTTCCCATGGCTCTCTCTCGCTCGCTCTCATGTTCCCCTGTAACCCTGTGTATTGGAACCCTGCCTCCCTCCCTCTCTCCCTCGCTCGCTTCCCCCGCATCCTTTTGTTTGTGCTGCTGTACACTTGGATATCATTTCCATCTCACTCGTCTCCTGCCAGCTTAGCATGAACCCCATTGCCAGCTCCTCCTCCAGCCTCCCTTTTCGTTTCTACTCACTTGTCCATGTTGTCTAACGTAGATGACCCATTTCCGACCAGTTAAGCAATTTATCATATCTGCAGTATGGGTATGATGAGGGAAAAAAAAATCCCCATGTAAAGAAATAGATTTTAGAAGGATTTCATATTTTTTACACCTTTTTTTCTCAAAAACAAAATCACCATGAATTTTTGGAGTGAATATTATGTTTGTCCTATAATCACCATATAAATTACCCTATTTCTAACCAATGGTTGGTTACAAAATCAAGGGCGCCTAATTCTTGTAATTAATAATTTTGGCACCTAAGTATCATTTCAATCTACACTTCATACCATGCCAAGGATGATAATATGTAGATGAGGCAACTTCAATTCAAACATTTGGTTGAAGAGAATATGAGGTAAGAATTGACTATATTTAATTTTCAATCAAAGTTTTCTAGAACTTTATTATGTCATCCATATAGATTACAACTAATCTTATCAACCACAACATGGTCACAAAGTAATCACCAAAAGATGGATATTTAGCCATCTCAAATAAGCAACTTCACTAATATTCAATTAATTTTTAAAATATCACCATTATCCATTCCAAATACAAGAAATTTTTAATCTTTTTCACTACTAGTTATCAACTTAACAAGCAAGAATCTTATTTTTAATCAAAATATTTCAAACTTATCAATGATTCATGTCGAGTTGTACAAAAATAGACCACATTAAGTTGCAAAATAGGAGGTTGGTTGAGAATGGATCATCTATTTTTTGTTCATTATCATTGTGGAGTGAGTTTTTAAGATGCTCATTATTTGCATATTGTTCTTATATCTTTGTAAGTCTATCTAGCAGTCTACTATGTTTTAAGGTTTTAAAATGTATATTTTGTTGATTACAACATCCTATCTGTATTTGTAACTCGAAAGTATTTTAATAATCTTCTACAAATCTTAATTTTAAAATTTTATTTTCAAAATTTTAAAATTTCTATGATTTGTAGAAATTTTAAGCTTTTATAAATCCTTGTTTTTGGTTCAAAATTTCTAAAACTATAAATTATTAGGTTAAAAAGCTACATACCAATTTTGTGGTATTTAAGTAATTAGTTTGAGAGATATGAAGAAAGTTACATGAAAGTATATAAAAATAAGGATTTAAAGCTATTATTAGGATTTTAGTAATATTTTAAGATTTTTACAAATTTATAGTTGAAATTTTTTTTGATAGTTTTTTTTAGGTATATTAATACTTTATATAAAATTTGAATTTGTTTTGACAATCCAATTGTGAGATATAAGTTGTTAAAGTTTGGGAAAAAATTTCCTTAAGGATATATAAGATTTTAGAATATTTTTATCATATTTTGGATGTTCTTTGATACTTAGGACTTATGTATTGATGAAATTGCCCCTATAGAGACAATTTTATATATAAACTTGGTGCTTACTAATCTTCACACTTATTAAGCAATTAAAGACAGCTAGAAGCTTAGTATTTTTTTTAGGCAAACACTTCTTATCTCAACACTGTTTACATTATTTGACATTAAATCCTCATAAGATGTGTAATTGCTTCTTGAAAGTTGAACAACTCTACAAGTAATTTGCATAGGTTCACAAAATACTCATAAAATCATTTTGGTAGATAGTGTGGATATTTGTTTTAATTTAATGTTTAGATTGTTAGAAGAAATTTATTTTTAATATTTAGGATTGCATATTGCTCTAGAAATGACATGTAGTTGATGAAGGCATTGGAAGATGGCTAAAAATTAAGATCATAAATTGTGCTTTGATACAAAACAAGATTAAAAAAATTAAACTCTTTTAGTGGAAGAAACTTATTGACAAGTGATTTGAATGAAGACTTGTCATGGATATATAGATGTACTCTAATAAATACTTATATGATTAGATAGAAGTAGGTAAAAGTAGATAAAAGTAGATTAATTTCATAATACCTTCTAGAAAAGCTTCATAAATGTTGCTTTGCTTTACATGTATTTGTAATTGATTGGTAGTTTAAAAACTTAATCAACTAGTTAATCATGTGTTGATAGCTTGTGGAACAAGCTAATTATATGATACATATATAACAAACTTGCCTTGTAAGTTAAGATACGTATCATGTAAAGTCAACATGTTTTAGAAGTTCTATAGGACTTTGCCACATAGCTCCTAATTGAGAGTATATATGGAGGCAAGAATGAATCCTTCTTAACTCTTGTCAATGCCTTTTTAATCCTTAGTTTAATCCTAAGTCAAATTCATAGGTGCACTTTTATCAAAAAGTACCCTTTCTAGATTAGCACCTTTAATGGAAAAGAATTCATAATTTCTTTATGATTTGAATTCATTCCTAGAAGTGTTTAGAGCCACACTTAAAAAAAGTGAATGAAAAAGAGTAGCAAAGACTAAGTTCTTATCTTTACAACAAGAATCATAATCAGCTACCATATATGCTGTTGGATTCCAAAACCTTGCTTGCAACATGCACTAAAATGACAAAACCCTTATCAATAAATTTTGATATAGATTAAAGGATAATATCAAAGATTTATTATTGACAATGTCAAAAGTAATATATTTGGAATAATTTATTACTTAAGCCATTGCATATGACAATCAATTATTTAAAAGATGTGAAGAATAAAGACTTCGCTTAAGAGAAACAAATCAATAATGACAGCAACTCATAAGTTTTTAAAAACTTATTCATCAAGGCCAAAACCAATACAAATTGATATGGTATGTTCTAAATCCTTCACAAAAAAAAAAAAAAAAAAAAAAAAAAAAAACCCAATGATGTCAAGAAGGCTTGCGCTTATATTGTAGAGAAGCTAAATACACTACTTAATATTGTCCAAAGAAACAATGCAACCATAGAATGAGAAGCATTATTGCCAAAGAAGATGTTGTATTAAAAAATGAGTTTTTTCAACTACAATAGGAATTGTATGGCTGAAATCTTATGTAAATTCTAATAAATATTTTACTCACTTCTCAAATCCCTCACCTTGTTTCACAATAGAAGTCCATTTATGCCCAAAAAATCACAAAATTTTAGCTTTAATAGATTCAAAAGCCTCAGCTTATTTTACAGATGAAGATTTTGTCAAAAAACTACAGATATCTTTAGTCAAGAAAACAAAGCCTTCATACATAGAATCATAGATGGTCATTTTTTATTTTCTAGAGATATTACGTATGAAATCATTCCTATAAATATAACAATTAAAGATCATAATAACATCGTAATATTTAATGTAATAAGATCTCCATCCAATCCAATTATTTTAGAATTATCTTGATTAAAAAAATACAATCTTCAAATATATTGGATATTTTTAAACATAATTTTTTTAGTTGTTTAATCCAAAATCTTATTAATCAAGTAGAAATATATTAGTCTAATACATCCAAATCCTTACTAGTAGGTACAAGAGCTTTCATGTATGTTGCAAAAGAAGGATTATTTTTGTTATATATGCCATGCCTATTTTTGATGGTCAAAAGACGTCAAGTAATATTTCTAGCCAATATCAAGATTTTCAGGATATTTTTTTAAAAAAAATGTAGATATTCTTATAAAGCAACGTCCTTATGATTGTTCCATCAATCTTTAAGAAGGACCTCAACCACTATTTTGACCAATCTATAATCTATCATAAACAAAGTTGGTTGCATTCGAAGACTACATTGATGGGCATTTGGCCAAAAATTTCATATGCCATTCTAAACGTCCAATTGAGACTCTTATCTTATTTGTGGAGGAAAAAGACAGATCTCTATAAATGAGTGTAGACTATCAAAGACTCAATAACATTGCCATCAACAATAAATATCCTCTATCTTTGATTTTAAGACTTTTTGATCAATTCAATAAAGCAAAAATCTATACAAAAATAGACCTATAAAGAGCATATAATCTAGTACACATTAAAAAAAGAGATGAATGAAAATTTATATTTTGAATTAGGTATGGATATTTTGAATATAATATCATGCATTTTGGACTCACAAATACACAAGCTACTTTTCAACATCTAATGAATGATGTCTTCTGTGAATCTTTTGATGATTTTGTTGTTTATTATTTGGACATCTTAATCTACTCTATGAATACAAAAAAGCATGAAGTTCATGTTCATTGTGTATTACAAAAAATTAGGGATGCATGATTATTTGCCAAGTTAAAAAGTATATAATCTATACTACTCAAGTTGACTTCCTAAGATACATCATTTCTAATAAAGAGCCAGACTATCATAGATTAAAAGATTCTAAGAATAGTATAAAAATGTATAATGATTTTTAGACTTTGCCAATTACTATCAGATCTTCACCAATAATTTTTTTCAAATTATAGCTCCAAGTACACATTTGACTTGTAAAATCAAACTTGATTGAAGTAAAGAAACCAAAGCATCATTTGATGTTTTTTTAAAAAAAATTCTTTTTACACCAATCTTATATTATGTTGACTTTTTTAAGGCCTTTTTCATGGAAATAAATGCATCTGACTTTGTCTTTAGTATAATTTTATCAAAAATGGAAGAAAATGACAAATTCCATCTAGTAGCTTTCTATTCCAAAATTTTTTTCAGTAATTAAGATTAATTATGAGATCCATCACAAAGAGTTCTTTATAATTGTGGATTCATTTTAAGAATAGCGTCATTATTT